AGTTATGAACTTGAGGGAATGGATGGGGTGATTTGCTTCTCGCTAGAGATGTCACTGATCCAGAACCTCTTCATCGTGGGCGAGGCGCATGGGCCAAAACCTCCTCTACCAAGGCGGAGAAGGCTTTGATCATCTTGCAAGTGCAAGCATCTCGGCACACGAAGCCACCAAAGAAAAGGAGGTAGGTGGCAATGGTCCAGGTGGATAGCCACCGCTTGGAGAGGATGCATATTAGGGTGTTTGGTAAAGCCACTAATGAAACCGTCAGGGTTCCTCGCTTCATTTCGGAGGAGAAAAAGAAGGAGAACATTGGCTTCATCCTGTGCGATTTGGTTGTTCGCCGAAGAATTTGTATTACCATGATATGACCCCAATTGTATTAAGCAAAAGCACATTATGTTTCGAATCAGACCCAAACTAAAGGTAAAATCTTTGATCTCTTAATGTGCTCTTCGTTTCTGATTTCATTAACTTACAAATTCACAAAAACATGGCATAGCTCAAACAATAAATTACTATTCTCATAAAGAAAATGAACCTCATAGACACATATTTATTCATAGCAAAAGTTTCAGCTACTCTATTTAAAAAAATATAAGCTATTTCAAATCTTAATGATAGATAATAAAAATTTAAAGCATGTACTATGGTTTGATCTCGCACTTTCAATTTGGTTTCCAAAATGCTGAACCGAATGTGACCACCAAAAAGGGTAATGTTAAGATTCAAGTTTATCTTCTTTTGGGTCGCAAAGTACTTCAAGTTTATCTTTAAATAGTGATTTCTATGCAGTTACGCACAAATACAAGAAGATTTATAAAATGCGTATCATAATGATCAAGACGTTTTCTTAATCTTCCAAGAGTGCAGATCCATGATATAGCCCCAGATTTTCTATTTTGCCTGAAAAAGAAGAAAAGGCTTAGCAATATCTTAACCAAACCACCCTTTCATATGTCCATAATAAAAAAACACCTACTATTAACCTCTTTCCTCAGAAGGTTCATATTTACAACTAAACTAAACTTGAAAGAAGTGTAAATTAGGTACATGTTAAAAACCCAATACTGTCATGTAGTTCTTGTAAGTCTACTGTCAAAAGAGAGTGAATAAGAATGAGCAGTGTAGTAGTGCTCATCCAAGTTTAGAAACCCGAATCTTCTTCATATGCTTTTAGAACTTTAAAAGGACACCTCTTCCAAAGGATAATTGAAGATAACTTCAGCATTTTGGGAAGCTCTTTGATAGCTGAGCACATCTCGGCACACACCAAGTAGTTTGGAAAGATCAGCAGCTTCAAGACGTTTTTGTCCACTTTGTGCATGCAAATCAACCTTAATAATCATCTTCTCCAGCGCAAGTGCATCACCAAGAAGAAACTTAATCAGGGCGAGCAGATGTTTCGACCCCAAACTAACAGCAAAACCGATGATCTCCACCCTCTTGAGATGTTTCGCCAAACATTGAAAGTTCCCCTTCCATGACAAAAGATCTTCGTTAAAACGTTCTACAGATTCTTCGTCAAGCTTAAACTGCACATGGATACCCCATTTAAGAAAGAAGCTTCACATTAGATGCGGATCCACAAAAAGCAATTCGTTGCCTCACTAAAATTTCAAACAAACAACTTTCGTTTGTCCACCTCAGATAATAGTCAGTTTTACTTTATATCGAGTCTTCATCAATTTGAGCTCCTAAACTAGTCTACACAGTAAAACATCTTCTCTTTCTAGGCGCTCATCGCTATTTCATTAGTTCAAGATCCTAACCTTACATGGCAGCAAAAGAATCTCCAGTATAACACTGCAGTTACTTTAGGACTTGAACTAAAACAGCTTAAAACGGCCCTCGACAAATGTCGAGTAGACTGACAGTTATGGGCAAATTTCAATTGGTGGAACAAATAAGAGTTTGAGATTGATCATTTTTATGTTCTTCTAAAGTTTTAACTCATTCATGCAAAGAGGAAGTCAGCACAGGAAGCGAACTGAAAATAATATAGAAAAGTAACAAACCGTCGATGGGCAAGAGTGAGTCAGGTGTATGACTAATTTTTCCAGGCACTGTGAACTTCGTAGCATGTATGCTATCCCGGGAAGTTCCCATCGAGTAACTGGCGCGCGTAGTATCAGATTCTGACATTTTGACAATGGACATGGCACTCCTTCCATCTCCAAAGCGGACAGAACCTAAGCACATTGAGCAAGCAAAATAGAAAAATTAGTAAGTATTTATGTTCCTGTTTAACATGAATAAAGAATAACAAAATTACAGTTCATCCAGATACAATATCCTTTGACAAGTAGAAATGAACAAGTGAATCTCTTAAAGAATCAAGACTATTTACATAAAACTTGTAATACTTTAAGGATCTGAAAATTCTAATAGTTGGTCACATGAGACAGCAAACCTCGTTATCAACTGAAGCTTCCAAGAAAATCCATCCATTGCTATTGTAAAATATTGTAAGAATACTCTATAAGATGATCATGGACCATCAGCCTAGTGTGACAAGAGAGCATGACCCGATTCCGGCAACCAAAGATGACTAAGTCCATTACTCTTGGTTTTTTGTTTTTTTGAGCAAATCATTACTCTTCGTTATCTTTCCATATAATTGTATTTTTTTTCTATAAACTGAAAGAGCGAATGGGAAAATGCAACCTTTTCAAACAATCTCTTAATGCATTTTTCTTGTGAAAAACAAGCATCTGACAGTGTTGATGTTGAGTAGCATCCGTAACAATTAGCAATATCTAGTGGCATTCGTTGTCCCTAATTGAGTGATCGCAGATCCATTTGTTCGAAATTAAACATAGGGAAGAAAATCCAAGGTTCACCATATTTTCTTACGTAATAACTCCAAACATAAAGTTCTGAATCATCCTGTTCACAATGATTCCCCTTGACAAACGACTAGAATGCCACAGAAAGCTGGAAGGTCACTCAACCGGGGGACCATACAGCACTAGATGGCATTAATCACAGACAACATTCAACACTGAGTACCGTCTTAGAAAGGGGCAGTAAAAATACTGAGCTGGTACCTGCAAACACCAACCGCCAATGGTGATTGTAGAAACTCCGCGCAGCTTCTCAAGAAGTTCCTTCAACAAGTCGCGGCTCTTGTCAGTACACACAACAAAATCTAACTCGGCTTCCACCAAAGAAGATACGTCGTCGAGTCTGAACACGGAAGCAAGACCCCAAATCCCTGATACCCGCAGCGACAGCAGATGCGGGGCCCAAATTTGCTCCGAGTCAGAGAACCCGCCATTGGCGAATATTAACTTTTTCACACTCGTCGAATCTATTACAATGTTCTTCAAGCGCCAGCAATAGTGCAACTCAAGGGACTCTAGAACAGGACTTCCGCTGACAATTTCCTCGAGGTTATCATCACTCATCTCCACGACTTCCATCAACAAGACCTTGAGACAAGGCCACCTAACAGTAGTACCCAACGAAAAACAGCAGCAACTGAGTTCCAGGCGCACCAACCAACTCAAGCAATACAAGAAGGGCCGCGGTCTATAGAAGAACTGCAGCTGCCGGGTGACAAGACCCAGGCGAAGATCCTCCACACGGCGCCCCTCCGCGAAGCGGAGCCAGAGGTCGAGCTTGGGGTGGAGGGCCTCGTCGTACTCGAAGTTGGTGATGTGGAACCTCTTCACCGTGGGCGAGGTGCACCGGATCAGGACGCTGTCGACGAGGGACGGGAAGTCCGGGGAGTAGGTGTCGTCGGGATTGCAAGGCAGGACGTCGTCGAAGACGAGGTGGGCGGTGGTGGTCCAAGCGGAATGCCAGCGCTTGGAGAGGGCGCTGGTCTTCACGACGTCTTTGAGCGGCAGAAAGGAGAAGATGTGGTGGATCACGGCGTCTGGCATGGCGGTGATGAGATCCCCAGGGCTCAAGGGAGGAAGGGTTCGGTTTCGTTTGGCGCGATTCCGTCGGTCGTCGCCGGAGGATTCGCGGCGGACGGCGCCGTGGACGGTGGTCTCCGCCATGGACTCGGAATCCTAGGGTTTTCCGGGGAGGTTCGATGATTTTGCTTTTTCTATTTCACTCTTAAATCCTATTTCTTCAAAACTCAAAAAGGAAATCATACTTTTCCCAATTTGTGGCTTGAAATTTGTTTCTTAATTTTTCTCATTCGAATTCTTTGTGCAATCATGACTAAATAAAGAATATTTCAATGTGAAAAAAGAGGTGGAGGATTACAATTAAAAATTTATGCTTAGAGAAAAAAAACGTATCGAGTAATCGACTTACGTGGTACGCTAATATGCTCGATATTAACTATCAAAAATCAAAAAACAAATGTAAACTATCAAAAAGAATATGCTCGATATTTTCTTTTTCATTTTTTCCTTATAAAATTCGATTTCATCAAACTCTCTGGGTAAAAAATTTCTAATTTTGACTCCCTCATCTCTTCCCTATTTTTGAGTGCCGGAGAGCGCGAATCCGTCGGGCTTTGATATGCAAAATGAAATGGCAAGGGAATAAATAATAATCTCATGAAGAGAAACTAAACTCGGAATAAATACGGGAAAGATTCTATTTGTTCGATTCATAGGACAATCTAAGAATAACGTTCAAGAGCTTGAAACTCTTTTTAATCAGTTTTAATTATATGATGATTAAATCCTAATATCATAATATTGTTGCTTCGAATTATAAATTGGCAACACTAGCCCCTTATTTACATCAATTAAGTCAACTATATATCCATAATCGGGATCTAATGAGACGGATGAAATCATAAAACTTCAAATTCAGGAGTTGTTCTGAGGAGGACAAATTTCAATCATGAACTGGATCAGAACAATGGCGGGTTGTTGCTCAAACATATATATATGCTTTTGGTGCTAGATAAACAAATTCCGACAATTCGTCACAACTTACATGTAATAACTTACGGTAAATGACGTGCACAGCACTCACCCAATACTTGCTCCATAAATCCGTGTATGAAGAACTTCTGACGAATATCTATGTAAGTATAACGCCAGTGACATTAGTTTCCGAAAAAACCTGCTTACACCCAAGATAAGATAGTTGTATCCACCAACAATTCAACATCAAAAAATAGCATTGTTGATACTAGAAGGACCAGTGAACTGTACGAGTCCCAAAGACACATTGCTGGTGCAAATAAAAGTTTGCAACTTGATCCCACCTAATGTAAAAGTGCATGCTCATAACGCAAAACCCGAGAAGCTGCACTAAGTCAGGATAGCTAGTTTCATCGTCTCAAAAGTCAAAAGCCATCCTTCATCTTGCTCATTCTGCCATCTGCCCTCCTTCGACTTTCTTTGATCCCCGGAACTTTTCTCTCTTACAAAATGCCCTCAAATGGCTGCAACACATTGCAAACATTTCTTGTCATTACTTCGACTCTAAATAGTTTGGACAATTTGAAGTTCGAATCTTGCTCCAAAATATTGGCTTTCCTCTCGGACAGGTCAAACATGTTTACTAGCACAACAAGAGCGAATTAGAACTTGATACTGTCCTCCCCGTGAAATTAGGTGTCAACAGCTACACGTAAGAAAGAGTCAAAACCCAGTTGCAGATGTGAGTATTACAAATAGAAAATCCTAAAGTTTTAGGCTTTTGACCTCCAAACTGACTACAAGCTGCAACGACAACAACTGCATACAAGAGCTATCCATCACAGCAAGCCCATTTTTTCCATGCTTATGCAGTTCAGCACAACAAAGAAACGTGATGGTCCTGCAAAGGATACCAAAAACATACTCGAGAGAATCTCTAATTGCTGCACAAATCATAAATTGCTGGGTCTCAAATGAAGCAGCCACCACCAAATGTTATCAATCCCACAAAGCCAAATAGAAGTTCACATCATTTTCAATGCCCAGATCAAAACGTGGAATTACAAGGACTCTCCCTACAGTTAAGTTTCACAGGTAAATTACAGTGCAATCAGAGGTCTGCAATGTCATACTAAATGCAAGAACTGAGAAAAGAAATCTGGCAACTGCAATTTGAGCAACTTGTAGATCATTCCGGTAGAATATCTTTACTCCTAATGAACAGGACAGGCTACAAATCACAGACAAAAGCCAATTGAACAATGACCATGCCCACCCAAATTGCAGTTTTACACCCAAAAATGTCACATTAAATCGAATTTATAAAACTACAAATAAACTATCAGATGAATGTGAAGTACCTGGGCAGGTTTGGGCTCTGACGAAGGGATCAACTCCCCATTCAAAATTCTTGCTGTCAAAGCATCGAATTTATCCTTCATCTACAACAATCGGAGCAAGCAACACACACTCATATTCATGATTGAAAGGCGAAAAGGAAACTTCAATAAGTTATCAGAATTAGACATACCTCAGAAGAAAGGGCATAGCAGTCCACACCAATTGGGAAATCGCAGCGCCTGTTTAGAATGAGCAGTGTAGTGCTCATCCAAGTTCAGAAACCCAGATCTTCTTCATATGCCTTTTTAAGGACAACTCTTCCAAAGGATAATCGAAGATAACTTCAGCATTTTGGGAAGCTCTTCGATAGCTGTGCACATTTCGGCTCACATCAAGTAGTTTGGAAAGATCAGCGGCTTCAAGATGTTTTTGTCCACGTTGTGCATGGAAATCAGCCTCAATAATCATCTTCTCCAGCATAAGTGCATCACCAAGAAGAAACTTAATCAAGGTGAGCAGATGTTTCGACCCAAAACTATTAGCAAAACCGATGATCTCCACCCTCTTGAGATGTTTCGCCAAACATTGAAAGTTCCCCTTCCGTGACAAAAGATCTTCGTTAAAACGTTCTATAGATTCTTCGTCGAGCTTAAACTGCACATGGATACCCCCATTTAAGAAAGAAGCTTCACATTAGATGAGGATCCACAGAAAAAACAATTCGTTGCCTCACTAAAATTTCAAACAAACAACTTTCATTTGTCCACCTCAGATAATAGTCAGTTTTACTTTATATCAAGTCTTCATCAATTTGAGCTCTTAAACTAGTCTACACAGCAAAACATCTTCTCTTTCTAGGCGCTCATCGCTAATTCATTAGTTCAAGATTCTAACCTTACATGGGAGGAAAAGAATCTCCAGTATAACACTGCAGTTACTTTAGGACATGAACTAAAACAGCTTAAAACGGCCCTGGACAAATGTCGAGTAGACTGACAGTCAAGGGCAAATTTCATTTGCTGGAACAAATAAGAGTTTGAGATTGATCATCTTTATGTGCTTCTAAAGTTTTAACTCATTCATCCAAAGAGGAAGTCAGCACAAGAAGCGAACTGAAAATAATATAGAAATGTAACAAACCGTCAATGGGCGAGAGCGAGTCAGGTGTACGACTAATTTTTCCAGGCGCTGTGAACTTCGTAGCATGCATGCTATCCCGGGAACTTCCCATTGACTAACTGGCGCGCGTAGTATCAGATTCTGACATTTTGACAATGGACATTGCACTCCTTCCATCTCCAAAGCGGACAGAATCTAACCACATTGAGCAAGCAAAACAGAAAAATTAATTAGTATTTCTGTTCCTGTTTAACATGAATAAAGAATAACAAAATTACGGTTCATCCAGATACAATTTCCTTTGACACTATCTCCCAGCCAGGAAAAGACCAATAAGAATACTACAAGTAGAAATGAGCAAGTGAATCTCTTTAAGAATCAAGACTATCTACATAAAACTCGTGATACTTGAAGGATCTGAAAATTCTAATAGTAGGTTACATGAGATAGCAAACCCCATTATCGACTGAAGCTTCCGAGAAAATCCATCCATTGCCATTGTAAAATACTTTAAGAATACTCTGTAAGATGATCATGGACCATCGGCCTAGTGTGACGAGAGAGCATGGCCCGATTCCAGCAACCAAAGACGACTAGGTCCATTACTCTTCGATTTTTTTTTTTTTTTTGAGCGAATCATTACTCTTCGTTATCTTTCCATATAATAGTATTTTTTCTATAAACTGAAAGAGTGAATGGGAAAATGTAACCTTTTCAAAGAATCTCTTCATGCATTTTTCTTGTGAAAAACAAGCATCTGACAGTGTTGCGTTGACTAGCATCCATAACAATTAGAAATATCTAGTGGCATTCGTTGTCCCTAATTGAGTGATCCCAGATCCATTTGTTCGAAATCAAACATAGGGAAGAAGCTCCAAGGTTCACCATATTTTCTTACGTAATAACTAGAAACATAAAGTTAAGAATCATCCTGTTCAAAATGATTCCCCTTAACAAAAGACTAAACAAAAGTACCATACAGCACTAAATGGCACTAATCACAGAAAACATTCAACATGAGTACTTAACACTTTATCTTCTCTCCTCTGCTTTAGTTTCTGCATTCGAGGTTAACTGTACGAGTAGTTTCCATTGGATCCGTTAATAGCGAAAGGAAAAAAAAAGGGTTGTTTCCCACAAAAATACTGAGTTGGCACCTGCAGACAACATTCAACACGAGTACCGTCTTAGACAGGGGCAGTAAAAATACTGAGCTGGTACCTGCAAACACCAACCGCCAATGGAGATCGTCGAAACTCCGCGCAGCTTCTCAAGAAGTTCCTTTAACAAGTCCCGGCTCTTGTCAGCACACACAACAAAATCTAGCTCGGCTTCCACCAAAGAAGACACGTCGTCGAGTCTGAACACGGAATTGAGACCCCAGATCCCCGATACCCGCAGCGACAGCAAATGCGGGGCCCAGATTTGCTCCGAGTCAGATAACCCGCCATTGGCGAGTACTAACTCTTTCACGCTTGTCGAATCTATCACAATGTTCTTCACGCCCCTGCAATGGTGCAACTCAAGGGACTCTAGAACAGGACTTCCCCCGACAATCCCCTCCAGGATACCATCGCTCAACTCCGCACATCCTAACAACAAGACCTTGAGACAAGGCCACCTGACAGCAGTGCCCAACGAAAGACAGCAGCTCCAGACCTCCAGGCGCACCAACCCACTCAAGCAATACAAGAACCGCGGCAGCTTATAATGAACCAGCAGCTGATGAAGGCACAGGCGGAGATCCTCCACGCGGCGACCCTCCGCGAAGCGGAGCCAGAGGTCGAGCTTGGGGCGGTAGGCCTCGTCGCACTTGAAGATGGTGACGTGGAACCTCTTCACCGCGGGCGAGGTGCACCGGATCAGGACGCTGTCGACGAGGGACGGGAAGTCCGGGTAGTAGGTGTCGCGACGGCGAGGCCGGAGGTCGTCGAGGACGAGGTGGGCGGTGGCGGTCCAAGCGGACTGCCAGCGCTTGGAGAGGACGCCGGTCTTCACGACGTCTCTCAGGGGCAGGAAGGAGAAGATGTGGTGGATCACGGCGTCTGGCAAGGCGCTGATGAGATCCCTAGCGCCCATAGGAGGAGGAGGAGGTCGGCTTCGTTTGGCGCGATTCCGCCGGTCGCCGCCGGAGGATCCGCGGCGGACGGCGCCGTGGACGGAGGTCTCCGCCATGGAATTGGAATCGCAGGGTTTCTGCGATTTTTGCCCCGATTTTTTCCGGAGATTTTACTTTTTGCTTCTCCTTTTTACATAGTAGTGAAATTTGAACCTTTTAATTGGTCTAGCTTTTTTCTTTTTGTGTTTTGTGTTTTTCTTATTTCTTTTTCAATTTTCATCACGATTTTCTTCGTTCAGCAAGCAAGCAATTGATTTTTTTTCTGGGGCAATCGAGTCATTTCGCCGCCATCTACCGTCTATATATCCGGAAAAATAGCTAATAATACCGTCCAAATGAAGCGAAATTCTTTCGTGATGTTGACCTGACATTCAATTGAAAAGACGGAAAGAAAATAGAGCGAAGAGTTTATCAGTACATGTGTAAAATGAGTCTGAATTATTCCAACAAAATAGAATGTCACACGACTACCACCTTAACTATTGATTAATCAATATTTTTTTTAATAGAATAATAACATTAAATATTTTTATATAATTTATGAACTAAATTGAGCACGTACAAAAAGTTCATTGATTACATTGAATAAATGGGAAAATTGTCAAATCAGTCCTAAACCTATTGTACGGCAGCCAATTCAGTCCTAAACCTTTTAATTTTGCCAATTCAATCTTAAACCTTTTAAATTCTTGCCAATTGAGTCCTTAGGTCAATTTTGGCCGGCCCGGCCGACGTGGCCGCCGGCCGCGCCATTGCCGTCCGTCAACGTTGACGTGGCAATTTTTAATTATTTTTTTTCAATTGTTTAATCTTTTTTTTCTTTTTCTTCTTTTTTTTTCTGGTTTCTCCCCTCTGGCCGGTCCGGCGACCGGCGGCCGGCCAGAGGGGAGGGCCGGCGAGGCCTCTGGCGAAGCTTGCCCCGGGCCACCTAGAAGGCGAGCCCGCCACCGGCGAGGGCGAGGTGAGGTCGGCCTCGCCTCGCCGTCGCGACCCAGCGACGGCGAGGCTCGACCTCGCTCGCCGTCGCCGAGCTCGCGGTCGCCGAGCCTCGCCGTCGCCTCGGATCGCGACGGCGAGGTCGAGCCTCGCCCGGATCCGGCGAGGCTTGACCTCGCTGTCACGACCCATGCGACGGCGAGGCTCGACCTCGCCACGCCTCGCCTCGCCGTCGCCTGGGTCACGACGGTGAGGCGAGGCCGACCTCGCCTCGCCCGGCCCGGGGGCCGGCGAGGCTCGCCCTCGCCGTGGGCGGGCGGGCCGCCGAGAGGCCTTGTCGGCCTCCCCCTGCAGCCGGTCGCACGGACCGGCCAAAGGGGAGAAACCAGAAAAAAAAAAAAGAAAAAAAAAGATTAAAAAATTGAAAAAAAAAATAATTAAAAATTGCCACGTCAGCGTTGACCGGACGGCCGGCGCCGGCCGGTGGCCACGTCAGCGCCGGCCGGCCAAAATTGGCCGGAAGGACTCAATTGGTAAGAATTTAAAAGGTTTAGGACTGAATTGACAAAATTAAAAGGTTTAGGACTGAATTGGCCGCTGTACAATAGGTTTAGGACTAATTTGACAATTTTCCCTTGAATAAATTAAAAGGTCATGAACCACATTACATATGGAGGTAAAATTGAAGGATAATATTGAATAAATTAAAAATTCGAAGACTATATTGCAATTAAATCAAAGTTGATGAATCATTTATATCATTATTAGGCTGAAATATGACCAATTCTCCTTGAACAGAAGAAGAGAGAAAATGATGAAAGCTCAGGTCAAACTACTCTCCCGTCTTTTATGTAAAAGTCCAAATTGTTGCCTAGCCAAGAAAGCAAACAACTTCAAAGAAAGCAAATGCCACTGGGGGTTTACTCCAGTGGCCATCCTTCTCACTTGAGAAAGGGGAGGTGGGGAGTTCGAATTCCCACCTTCGCAGGGGGTAGGGGTGGGGCCGCGTAGTTTAAGATGTTGGTTTCGACGCCCACGCCCTGCAAGAGATGGGGCGCAAGTCTGAATGTGTATCGTGAGTGAGAGATAAAGTAGGACCGACCAAAAAAAAAAAAAAGCAAATGCCAATTCCTATCAAGGATAGGGAATTAAGAAAGGATTTGGCTTGATACTTAATAATTTCATGCGTGCGATGATTTGTTGGAAATTTTTTGATCCATGCATTCATTCCTTATATAGAAATGGATTTCCATGTATGATTTTGGGAACCCATCACCTGCCATTCTAAGTTCTTGTGATGTATTGAGATCCTTTAAATTTAGATGAAAGTACCGACAATATCGATATACAAAGCATAGATTGAAGCCTCACCACGCCGTCTGATCTGGGGCGACACCAAGGTGGTTGAGACCTTATGTTTTGCAAGGCAACCACGAATTCACAGAGAGAGAGAGAGATCAGGCCGACGCAAGAGGATGATGGGAGGCGTGGGCGGTGACGGGTCATGAAGGTAGTGGCACATGGTGGGTCTAGTGATGCGGGTGTGGAGGAGGAGGAGATGGAGAGAAAAAGAGAGAGGAAATGAATGCATTTTGGTATTTGGTGTAATTTATCTCTGTGTATAAGGATGTTTTGGTACAATAGTTAATTTTACCTAAGTACAGAGATTGCTAAATTTAAAGAATCCCAACCTCTTAAAAGTGCAACGCTAGAAAGCCTACGAAAATTTAGCAACATACAAAGCATAAATTTTTTGAAAAGCATCGCAGCATAAACTATATGCCTTGAAGCTGGCAATGCTAGGCATAACTCATTTCTCTTTTTTTGGTCAGAAGGCATAACTCATTTGCATGATGCACATATGATATGGATTCCAGTTTAACTTGAATATTTAGCTGCAATCACGTCAACCCATTTATATACGAATACTTAACATGTCATGTACGAGTTGACATTTTAAAAACCGTTTGGACACACTTCGATGTGTTTAATAATATTGAAACAAGTTCATGTAGCGCTCGTGTCAACACATAGTGAATTCATGTACTTTTAAACACGTCTATACATGCTTAAACATATTCACAAAATTACATCTAGGGTAATTTCATAGGCATGTTAAAAAAATGTTGCGTCTCCCTAATTACCGAGTCATATTCAAGCTTCAAAATTTGTATCCATACATAGACATCTCTCGTTTTCGAGCCGGATACACCAAAAAGGGAATTGTTAACAAGTGCCTCTAGGGCACTCATTAAATTAATTGAAAATGGAAATAAGACTTTCCAAGACGCTTTGAAAGTGAATTTTAGTTTTATGTTTTAATAAGGTCACTTTAAACAATAAATTAAATTTCCTAAGTATATTGAGTAAGAACTAACAAATGCCCAAATGAGTATTCTTTAATATTTCCGTACAAAAATGCCAACTTATAACTCTCAACACTGGTGCAGTTAATTGAGATGTGGAGAGATTCTTAACTCGGAAACTGGAAGCCGCGCATTCAGATCTCTTAAATGCGTGTAAGCCACTCCGAGTCAAACCCGCCTGCATAAATCGAGGGCCCGAATTTAATGGGTTCGCGAGACTTACTAGGCATATCGTGGGCTTTTTAGATAGATGTGATGTTTTTAGAAAATATTTTTCGGAAAATCATTTTCTAGGAAAATGATAATATTTTCCGGTGTTCCGCCGAGACCTGAAAATGAATTCGAAAATATTTTCCGTCGTTCAACATGGAAAATCTAATTTAATTTTCCTCCTTACACTCATTTTAATAATTTTTTTTAATTCTTTTTAAATTAATTTTTAAATATTTCTTTTCTTTTCTTTTTCTCTTCTTTTTTATTCTTTTATATAATTGTTGGCCTCGCTAGATCCAGCGAGGCAAGGCTCAAGCTTACCGGCCTTGGGCAAGCGAGGCAAGGCTCGAGCTCGCTGGCCTTGGGCAAGCGAGCCTGACCCTTGCCCATGGCCAGTCGCCGACCATCACCGTAGTCGATGACTGACAGAGGATGCACCAAAGTTTGATTAAAGAAAATGAACCTCGTGGACACATATTTATTCATAGTGAAATTCCAGCCATTTCAAATCTTAATGATGGATAACAAAAATTAAAGGATGCACCATAGTTTAATCTTGCACTTTTGTTTTGATTTCCAGAAAGCTGAACCGAATGTGACCACTTAGGCTGCATTTGGGAACACTCTAGGGGAAAGTCTTTGGCAAAATGCAAAGGACTTTAAGTTGAAGGAGTTTTCCAAAATACAAATTGTGTGTTGGTAAGTTGTAACTTAAAAGTCCATTGCAAAGCAACTTTCGGTAAAATAGCATTTGAAAAAATTATACTTGCAAGGCACTTTATTATTTTTTATTAAAGAAAAGTTGAAACCCCTCACCGGAGTTGGTGAAGGGCTGGCGGCCGTCGGCGACCCAGATTTGGCGCCGGCGGCCGTCGTCTGATGCCGAACGACCTCAGACGACGGCCGCCGACCCTCGAGGGTTGTCTGCGTAGCACGACCTCAGTCGGAATCACGCGTCGCCTCTCCGAGGTCGTGCAAGTTCCCCGCGAGGGCCGTCTAGGTCGCGCGACATCAAGCGGCCCTCGCCTGGGTCGCATGGCCCGTCGCGGCGATTGTGCGACTCGAGGCGACGGTCGTTGGGTTGCGCAACCACGCCGGCCCCTCTTCGGCCTGTCGCCATCCACTCATAGCCACACCGGCCGAGGTAAGCGAAGAAGATGATGAACAGTTAAAGACAAAGGCAAAATCGGAAAATCAAAAAATAGATGAGGGTAGTTTTGGAAGAAATGTTTATTACTTAATCATTACTGTTGCTTACCGAGAAAGCCAAAAAGCCAAAGCGGGTGTCCAGGAGCCTTGTGCTTAAGGTCGGAAATGCTAGCATTTGGGAAATAGGTTCCAAAAAATGAATGCCAAACACACTAGCATTTGCCTAAGGGCCTTTAGAGGTCCAAAGGGCTTTGCAAAACTGTTCTCAAACGGCGGGTTATGTTAAAATTCGAGTTCATCTTCTTTTGGGCAGCAAATAAGTACTTCAAGTTTGTCTTTGAAATCAAATTGTAATGATCTCTATACAGCTACGCACAAAAGCATGAAGATTTCCAAAATGCATATCATGATGATCAGGACGTTTCCTTAATCTTCCAAGAGTGCAGATAAACGACATAACCTTAAATTTTCTACTTTGTCTGAAAAAGAAGAGGAAGCTGAGCAGTATCTTAACCAAAACGCCCCTTCATATGTCCACAATCCAAAGCACCTACTACTAACCTCTTTCCTGAGGAGCTTCATATTTACAGCTAAACTAAGCTTGAAAGAAGTGCAAATTAGGTACATGTTAAAAATCCAATACTGTCATACAGTTCATGTAATACTGTCAAGAGAGAGTTAATAAGAATGAGCAGGGTAGTGCTCATCCACGTTTATAATTCGAGATCTTCCTCAGATGCTTTCCAAAGGACACCTCTTCCAAAGGATAATCGAAGATAACTTCGGCATTTTGGGAAGCTCTTCGATAGCTGAGCACATTTCGGCTCACACCAAGTAGTATGCCAATATCAGCAACTCGAACATGTTTTTGTACACGTTGTGTATGCAAATTAGCCTTGATAATCATCTTCTCCAGAGCGAGTGCATCACCAACAAGAAACTTAATCAGGGCAAGCAGATGTTGCGACTCCAAACCATAAGCAAAATCGATGATCTCCACCCTCTTGAGATGTTTCGCCAAACATTGAAAGTTACCCTTCCATGAACACAAAAGATCTTCGTCACAGTTGAAACGTTGTATAGATTCTTCGCTGAGATTAAACTGCACATAGATGCCCCATTTAAGAAAGAAACTTCATATTAGATGCAGATCCACGAAAAAAAGAATTTGTTGCCTCACAAAAATTTCAAGCAAACAACTTTCGTTTGTCCACCTCAGATGATAGTCAATTTTACTTTATATCGAGTCTTCATAAATTTGAGCTCTTAAACTTGTCTACACAGTAAAACATCTTCTCTTTCTAGGCGCTCATCACTAATTCATTAGTTCAAGATCCTAACCTTACATGGGAGCAAAAGAATCTCCAGTATAACACTGCAGTTACTTTAGCACATGAACTAAAACAGCTTGAAATGGCCCTGGATAAATGTCGGGTAGACTGACAGTCATGGGCAAATTTCATTTCCTGGCACTAATGAGAGTTTGATATTGATCATCTTTATGTGCTTCTGAAGTTTAAACTCATTCATGCAAAGAGGAAGTCAGCACAGGAAGCGAACTGAAAATAATATAGAAAAGTAACAAACCGTCGATGGGTAAGAGTGAGTAAGGTGTATGACTAATTTTCCAGGCACTGTGAACTTCGTAGCATGTATGCTATCCCGGGAAGTTCCAATTGACTAACCGGCGTGCGTAGTATCAGATTCTGACATTTTGACAATGGACATAACACTCCTTCCATCTCCAAAGCGGACAGAACCTAACCACATTGAGCAAACAAAACGGAAAAATTAATTAGCATTTCTGTTCCTGTTTAACATGAATAAAGAATAACAAAATTACGGTTCATCCAGATACAATATCCTTAGACACTGTCTCCCAGCTAGGAAAAGACCGATAAGGAAACTACAAGTAGAAACGAACAAGTGAATCTCTTTAAGAATCTATTTACATAAAACTTGAGATACTTTAAGGATCTGAAAATTCTAGTAGTTGGTCACATGAGACAGCAAACCTCATTATCGACTGAAGTTTCTGAGAAAATCCATCCATTGCCATTGTAAAATAATGTAAGAATACTCTGTAAGATGATTATGGAACATCATCCTAGTGTGACGAGAGAGCATGACCCGGTTCTAGCAATCTAAGATGACTAGGTCCATTACTCTTCGATTTTTTTTTTTGAGCGAATCATTACTCTTCGTTATCCTTCCATATAATAGTATTTTTTCTATAAATTGAAAGAGCGAATGGAAAATGTAACCTTTTCAAATAATCTCTACATGCATTTATCTTGTGAAAATCAAGCATCTATCAGTGTTGCGTTGAGTAGCTTCCAGAATAAATAGAAATATCTCGTGGCATTCGTTGTCCCTAATTGAGCCATCCCAGATTCATTTATTTGAAATTAAACAGAGGGAAGAAGCTCCAAGGTTCACCATATGTTCTTCCGTAACCACTCGAAACACAAAGTTATGAATCGTCCCATTCACAAGGGTTCCCCTTGACGAAAGACCAGAATGCCACAGAGAGCTGAGGTCTCTCAGCCAGGGCCACATACAGCACTAAATGGCCCTAATGACGGACACCATTCAACACCAGTCGGTCTTAGAAATGGGCAAAAATACTGAGCTGGTACCTGCAAACACAAACCGCCAATGGTGATTGTAGAAACTCCGCGCAGCTGCTCAAGAAGTTCCTTTAACAAGCCGTCAGCACACACAACAAGATCTAACTCGGCTTCCACCAAAGAAGACACGTCGTCGAGTCTCAACACGGAACTGAGACCCCAGATCCCCGATACCCGCAGCGACCGCAAATGCGGAGCCCAGATTTGGTCCGAGTCAGAGAACCCGCCATCGGCGAGTATCAACTCTTTCACGCTTGTCGAATCTATCACAATGTTCTTCACACCCCCGCAATCGTGCAACGCGAGGGACTCCAGAACAGGACTTCCCCTGACAATTCCCTCCAGGATATCATCACTCATCTCCGCATTTCTTATCGACAAGACCTTAAGACAAGGCCACCTGACATCAGTACCTAACGAAAAACAGCAGCCCCTGACTTCCAGGCGCACCAACCGACTCAAGCAGTACAAGAACCGCGGCAGTTTATAATAAACCCGCAGCTGATGAAGACATAGACAAAGATCCTCCACACGGCGCTCCTCCGCGAAGCGCAGCCAGAGGTCGAGCTTGGGGCGGTAGGCCTCGTCGCACTTGAAGATGGTGATGTGGAACCTCTTCACCGCGGGCGAGGTGCACCGGGACAGGACGCTGTCGACGAGGGACGGGAAGTCCGGGTAGTAGGGGTCGCGATGGCGAGGCCGGAGGTCGTCGAGGACGAGTTGGGTGGTGGTGGTCCAAGTGGACTGCCAGCGCTTGGAGAGGACGCTGGTCTTCACGACGTCTCTCAGGGGCAGGAAGGAGAAGATGTGGTGGATCACGGCGTCTGGCATGGCGGTGATGAGATCCCCAGGGCTCGAAGGAGGAGGAGGAGGAGGTAGGCTTCGTTGGGCGCGATTCCGCCGGCCGTCGCCGGAGGATTCGCGGCGGACGGCGCCGTGGACGGAGGTCTCCGCCATGGATTCGGAATCCTAGGGTTTCTGCGATTTTTGCCCCCGAGTTTTCCAGAGATTTTACTTTTCACTTCTCCATTTTTACACGGTGACCGTGATTGGACCTTTTAAAAAAAAAATTGGTCTAGTTTTATTTATTTTTTTCTCATTTCTTTTTTCAATCTTCTTCACGATTTTCTTAGTGAGCATGCAAGAAACGGCCAATTGATTTTTCTCTTTCCAATCAAGTCATTTCGTCTATATAGATCTGGCATCACCGGTCGCCAGAACCATCTCCGGTGGTGAGGTCGCGTGAGGTGGGGATATTTCCGAAATTATGAAAGCTGAGCGATGACAAAGTTGAAAGAAAAAATTAAATAAATTTGCATTCCAAAAATGCAGCATTCCAAAGTACCTCGAGACCTCTCTTGGCCTAACATCCTTTTGGAAAGCTTTGGAGATGCAAATTACTTCTCCCCAAAGCTCTCCAAAAATTATGCCAAATGCAAATGCCAAGGGACTTTAGCAAAGTCGAACCAAATGCACCCTTAGTAACTATTTCTCTTTAATGATCCAAAAAACATCTTGGATTCCCATTTTAAGGTAAATGGTATTTTGCGATTACAAGGGGCCTTTTGGCTTTCTTTGCAATTTTGCTCTTTCCTACACGCTATAAAAAGACTATTGGGGTCATCCAATTATAGCATACAAGTTACACATCAAATATACACTGCATGTGAATTTGTATGTCTACAATTAAATAATATACATGGTCGTCTCCGGGCAATTATCTCTTATCAATTTGTAAATAAACAAAACCTACTACAAAACAAAGAAAATTAATTAGAGGCAAATGTGAAATGGGGTACCGGTTTGGAATTTTCTGTGAAATTAAAAAAATTAATTCGAGGCAAATGTACCATAACATATCAATTTGAAATTTATCATGGTATTAACCCTTGGGTTTGTTTTGGCGGACGAAGCCACCGGTCAAAAAGGAGGTCCGTGGCGGTGGTCTCGGTGGATCACCACTACTTGGAGGACGCAGGTCTTGATGATGTCTTCAATGTGCAAGGAGGAGAATATGTCGCGGATTAGGGCATCTGGCAAAGGCACTAATGAAAGCCTCGGGGTTTCTCACTTCGTTTCGGAGGAGAAGGAGAAAATTGGCTTCGTTCTGTTCGCCGAAGAATTTGTATTACCATGATTTGACCCCCAACTGTATTGACTGAAAGCAAATTATGTTTCAAATTGAACAGAAACTAACGGTAAAATCTTTGATTCTTTTAATGTGCTCTTCGTTGTTGATTTCACGAACTTACAAATTCACACAAACATGGCATAGCTCAAACAATAAATTACTGACACATCTATTCATAGTAAAATTTCTAGCTACTCTATATTAAAAAAAAATTTGAGCCATTTCAATCCTTAATGATGTATAATAAAAATTAAAACATGTACCCTGGTTCGATCTCGCATTTTGTTTTGGTTTCCAAAAAGCTGAATCGAATGTGACCACCAAAAGGGTTATGTTAAAATTCGAGTTTATCTTCTTTTGGGCCGCAAATTAAGCACTTACTTCAAGTTTGCCTTCGAAATCAAATTGTAATGATGTCTATACAATTACGCACAAATACATGAAGATTTCCAAAATGCATATCATAATGATCATGATTTTTCCTTAATCTTCCGGGAGTGCAGATATTTTCTATTTTGCCTGAAAAAGAAGACAGAACGCTGCGCAATATCTTCACCAAAACACCCTTTCATATGTCCATAATCCAAAACGCTACTATTAACCTCTTTCCTTAGGAGGTTCATATTTTACAACTAAACTAAACTTGAAAGAAGTGCAAATTAGGTACGTGTTAAAAACCCAATACTGTCATATAGTTCATGTATATCTACTGTCAAAAGAGAGTGAATAAGAATGAGCATTGTAGTGCTCATCCACGTTTAGAACCTGGATCTACTTCAGAGGCTTTTTAAAGGACACCTCTTCCAAAGGATAATCAAAGATAACTTCAGCATTTTGGGAAGCTCTTCGATAGCTTAGCACATTTCGGCTCACACCAAGTAATTCGGAAAGATCGGTGGCTCCAAGCCGTTTTTGTCCACGTCGTGCATGCACATCAGCCTTAATAATCATCTTCTCCAGCGCAAGTGCATCACCAAGAAGAAACTTAATTAGGGAGAGCAGATGTTTCGACCCAAAACTATCAGCAAAACCAATGATCTCCACCCTCTTGAGATGTTTCGCCAAACATTGAAAGTTCCCCTTCCATGACAAAAGATCTTTGTCAAAGTTAAAACGCTCAATAGATTCTTCGTCCAGCATAAACTGCACATGAGTACCTCATTTGAGAAAGAATATTCACGTTAAATGCAGATACACGGAAAAAAGAACTCGTTGCCTCACTAAAATTTCAAACAAACAACTTTCATTTGTCCACCTTAGAATCACGTCAGTTATACTCTATATCGAGTCTTCATCAATTTGGGCTTTTAAACTCGTCTACACAGTAAAACATCTTCTCCTTCTAGGCGCTCATCGCTGATTCATTAGTTCAAGGTCCTAACCTTACGAGGCAGCAAAAGAATCTCTAGTATAACACTGCAGTTACTTTAGGACATGAACTAAAACAGCTTAAAACGGCCCTGCATAAATGTCGAGTAGACTGACAGTCATGGGAAAATTCCATTTGCTAGAACAAATAAGAGTTTGAGATTGATCATCTTTATGTGCTTCTAAAGTTTTAACTCATTCATGCAAAGAGGAAGTCAGCACAAGATTCGAACTGAAAATAATATAGAAAAGTAATAAACCTTAAATATGCGGAAGTCAGTCAAGTCTATGACTAATTTTTCCATGCACTGTGAACTTCGTAGCATGTATGCTATCCCAGGAAGGTTTCGTTGACTAACTGTTGTGCGTAGTATTAGATTCTGGCATTTTGACAATGGAGATGGCACTCCTTCCATCTCTAAAGCAGACATAACCTAAGCACATTGTGCAAGCAAAATAGAAAAACTAATTAGTATTTATGATCCTGTTTAACATGAATAAAGAATAACAAAATTACAGTTCATCCAGATACAATATCCTTTGACCGTCTCCCAGCTAGGAAAAGACCAATAAGGATACTACAAGTACAAATGAACAAGTGAATCTCTTTCGGAATCCAGACTATTTACACAAAACTTGTGATACTTGAAGGATCAGATAATTGTAGTAGTTGGTCACATGAGACAGCAAACCTCGTGATCGACCAAAGTTTCCAGGAAAATCTATCCATTGCCATTGTAAAATATTGTAAGAACACTCTGTACGATGATTATGGAGCATCATCCTAGCATGACGAGAGAGCATGGCCTAGTTCCAGCAACCTAAGATGACTAGGTCCATTACTCTTTGTCATCTTTCCAGGTAACTGTATTTTTTCTATAAACTGAAAGAGCTAATGGAAAATAGAACCTTTTCAAATAATCTCTACATGCATTTATCTTGTGAAAATCAAGCATCTATCAGTATTGCGTTGAGTAGCATCCATAATAAATAGAAATATCTAGTGTCATTCGTTGTCCCTAATTGAGTGATCCCAGATCCATTTATTTGAAATTAAATGGAGGGAAGAAGCTCCAAGGTTCACCATATGTTCTTACGTAACAACTCAAAACACAAAGTTATGAATAGTCCCGTTCACAATGGTTCCCCTTGACGAAAGACTAGAATGCCACAGAGAGCTGAGAGGTCACTCGACCCGGGGCAACATACAGCACTAAAAGGCCCTAATCACGGAAACCATGCAACACGAGTCCGTCTTAGAAAGGGCAAAACTACTGAGCTGGTACCTCCAAACACCAACTGCCAATGGTGATTGTAGAAACTCCATGCAGCTTCTCAAGAAGTTCCTTTATCAAGTCGCGGCTCTTGTCACCGCGCACAACAAAATCTAACTCGGCTTCCACCAAAGAAGATACGTCGTCGAGTCTGAACACGGAACCAAGACGCCAAATCCCTGATACCCGCAGTGACAGCAAATGCGGGGCCCAAATTGTCTCCGAGTCCGATAGCCTGTGGCCTTTGACGAGTTTTAACTCTTTCACGCTGGTCGAATCTATTACAATGTTCTTCACGCCCCCGCAATAGTGTGTTGACACCTATTTTTAATTTGCCCAAAATTAATTGCAAAATTTAGGAGTTAATTTCTTTAATTCCTAAAACAAAAAAAATATTTCTATTTAAATGCATTGCATATAGACATTAGGCATATGTGCATTAATAAGGCCTATTAGAGCATATTTTCTTAAAAATTTTAAAAAAAAAAAAATTTTAAAAAAAAAAAAATTTTAAAAATTTGATTGATATATTCTAAATGTTTAATCTAATGTGATATTATTATGCATATTTTTGTCTTGTTTAAATTAGACAAACTTGAGATTGCGCGGTAATATTTTGCATGTTATGTTTATTATCGCTGTATTGTTATGCATGTTTTTAATACAATTGCATGAGCGTTGTGTTTTTGAATGTCATCTGACTTAGTTAAGGTTAGAACCTTAGGCTGCATGAATTGTTGTGTTCCTGACTGCTGATCGTTCCTGATTATGCACTCGCTTGATCACCTCACATGTTAGGAGAAAGGTCCTAAAATCAATCCAAATTGCTCGACAAATGTTTTCGAAATGAATAGGGTAAAATGGTACCGAAAGGGCATTAGTTATCCAACTAGTGTAACCAAGTCCCCGAACTCATTTAATCTCTGGTTCGTAGGAATAGGGTGATTCTCCCATCACCCTATTTGGGTTTCTAATCGACCCACCCCAAATCGATTAGTGGCGACTCCTTGATATAAACCACTTGCATGTTAAACACTTAAACCCTAAGTCGCGATATGGTATGGGCTTGGGAGAGCCCGAGTTAAGTCCCGAACCTAGACTTAGCACGTACCAGGCGAGCCCCCCTTTTTTGCATGTCGTTTTAAAAAGGGCTCGGGAGTTCGGTCGCGACAGACTGGCGACTCCGCTGGGGACTTGTTTTTTTTCAAAGTGGACTTAAGCCAAAATTTTTATCCTGTTCAAAATAATTTTTGTTTGACAGCAAGGACTTCAGGTATGATCCTGACATTAAGGTGTTATTTGTCTTGCAGGTTCGAATTGATTGTTTATAATTTGTTGTGCATGCTTTAATGATTTAGCACTACACCGTTGCACACACAACCACGCTGCCGGACCTGGGCCGCGATAGGGCATCTTAGGATGGTGTTAAGAAAGATACGACCTCGAACGCGAGTCCGCGATGTAGAGGTTGCCTTTCTTTTCCCCGAAATTTATTTCTAAAAATCGTAAAGAAGTATCTTTAGCCGCTATTCGCGTGACTATAAGATATTCCTTTCGATTTGGCCGAGGTTAAAAGGACTTGACACCAACGCGAGACTGCGACGGTCAGGCACCCTTTTAACTTCATGTTGCTGAGCCAGTCTAGATAGAAATCGAACCTCACTCCTCATGTGCATGTTGTTGCGATTGCCATGGTTCAAGGAAAGGTATATATTCTATCCCTTCTCATTTTTTTTATATATATATGGCCTACTTATTCAATTGATTTGTTACTGTTAGGCCACCCGTTGATTGCAGTCTATATACCAGGGATACGCTTATTGCGGAGCTTGTCCGTAAAAATAAGCGCCTCCGAGAGACCGTGATTTCCCCATCGTTTATAAAATGAGTATCCGGGAAGGGCACCCTTTTGTTAAAAGCCTCTGTCTTTTATATTTCCTAGTAATTATGTTCAGGGATTTTGGTTATCTCCTGTAAAAATGTTTTTGGGTTGTACAAATGTTAATATAACTCGGGCCGTTTTTTATGCTTTAAATAAAATTTTTTGCCCCTGAATGACACCATCGCGGCCTTCGGCCCAGTGGTATCCGGGGATGAGCAGTCACGGTCCGAGGCGACCGGGGTTCGAACCCCGGGGACGCCGCCTGTAATGTTAATATTAATAAAAACCTTTTTTGCTTATTTTTTCTTTGCAAATAAAGAAAATATGCAATAATAATATGACTAAGTCATAGAATGATTCTTTATTGAGCATTATACTCATTCATATACGCGTTTTCGCAGGTAGTTACAAAAAATGGCCGAAGAAAACGTCCGTCTCAATAACATGGAAACCGAAATGAAGCAGGTCTTCGCCTTTCTTCAACGACTCTCAAAACAAGTGGAACATCTGTCGGTCCGCTTAGACCAACTCACCATGACTCCACTTCGCCATCCAAGACCAGGGGTGATGATTCAAATGGAGACCTCCGGTCTCAATCAAAAGGGTAAAGATGTCATGGCTGACAATGTCCACGAGTCCCCTGATCCTAAGGAATTGAGCACCCTATGCCCAAAGTTCATGCAACATGAACAATACAAACCCAGTATCCCTCCATCACAAAAGCGAAACAACCGGAGACAATTCACTCCCCTCCCAGGACCTCCGTCTCAGATGCTGGCAATACTCCGGAAGAAAGGGCTGCTCTCCACTGAACCAAAGCGACCTAATCCTGAGAGCTTTTCAAACTACAATCCGTCTAAAAAATGTGATTATCACATGGGCGAGGTGGGGCATTCAACTGATGGGTGCTATACTCTTAAGCACCGAATTCAAAACCTGCTGGATACCAAGACTTTCTCATTCGAGACCAGTGAAGGGAATGGGCGCAAGCCCGCTTGAGTAGAACTCCTCTCATCCTTCTGCATGAATCCCTGGAAAAGGGGCTATCCTTGTGTTTTGTTTTTTGTAGTCATTTCTGCTGGAAGAAATGTCTTTTTGAATTCACCCTCTTTTGAGGTTGTAAATCCGTGTATTGTAAATAAATAATGTTTTGAGGGCCTGAGGAAGTATCCCCAAACCGGCCCGTTGATGATATCCAGCCATGTAAAGGAAAGTGTTCTGAGGCCCGGGCTTCCTAATGCTCCCTCGTTTCTAAACTTTTGAAAATAAAACAAACGTTTTATCATTTTTCAAAAGGGCGAAAAAGAACGGTGGTGAAAAAGCATGTATGCTCATAGACCTGTTTGTCTTTCTAACTCGCTCACTTCGTGTCTCAGAGCATACTCCTTTTTGATTTATTATTACGAAAGGGACATTTGGAAATGACACAAACTGAAGAGCACATCAGCCCCTGGTAATGATCGCGGACCAACTCATCTGATAGGAGCAGTCCAAGCGAAGATCATCCAACCTTCAAATGAAACATGGGGCAAATTTCATTACTACCGGTGGGTGATATCAGCCCCAGAAAGTCAAAGAGAATGCTAAGCATCCTTTGACCCCATGATGAGCGAAACATCATTTCGTACAAAAGTCGGGGGCAGATCAAGAAAAGATTATCCCTTTTGAAAGAAAAGGTATGTCTTATTCCTTAACAAATTTTGAAAATGACATTCCATCCCTTTTCTTTTGCAGATAATGAACTGGGGAACATGCTAGACTCTGACGTGCTAGCGAGCCGGATAGAGCACCAATGTCGCGACCTCTCGAATGAAACATGACGAAGAAGTGCTTAATTAGAAGAGTAGACTAGGGGGCATGCGATCTCCCAGTCCATCAAAAAGGGTGTATTTCGTTCCTAAAGTTCATCCACTTTAGCATAGAAATGACATATCTTTTCCTTTTATGTAGGACAAATTTGAGTAAAGATCCTGTGCAAGCAGCTGGAAAAGACTTCGCACATGACAAAATGACTTCAAGGCAGATCCTGACAACCACAGAAGTATCGATGGTAGTCATGCCCATGTTCGTCAAAGACCTTTAAAGTAGAGATTAGCTTTGCTGCGAAGATCCCCATGCAAGCAATTGCACATGCCTGTGCAATCAGGAATCGGAGCATTCACGAGAAACTCCTCAACATGTTTGAATCGCATTGACATAGCATCCGTTGACAAAAGAACCCTCTATTCGGGAGCACCCCTAATTATAGAGGATCTCATTCGAACTTCATGACCAAGAATATGGAGGAGCAGACTGAGACAGAGAAGGCTGAACAAAGTAAAGAGGAGAAAAGACTCTGCTAGCTTTGAAGGCAAAATGGAAGAAGGGTAATTTGTATCGTTCTCAATTTACCCTCAATCATCTCATTTCTAACATAAACTCCTGTTTTTGTCAGAAGGGAATTATCAACATCCGAGAAAACTCAAGGAGTTGTCAATTTAATCTTAAATGAGGGGAATCACGAAGGGTAATGTTGTATCGTTCCCAATTCCTATTCCCTCAAAGAGCCGTTCATTGACACGGTCTTTCTTATTGCTTTACAGGTTTACCTCGTCGCTGCTACAGCGTAGGTAAGTATTTCTTTCCCTTAAAACTCTAAGAGTTGAAAGAATCAAAAGAAGGAGGAAACATGTTAAAGCAAATAAATGCTTAACCTTCCCTCAAGTGCATTGCATGTCTTTTGGAAAGAATTTCGCATGGTAATTTTACCTGTTTAATTCACCAATTCCCTGTGAAAATTTTGACAATTCGACGAATGGTATCGAACTGCTCCGATGTATTGAACGAGGTGTCTCAGGATGATGAGAGGCAATCCTTAGCCTATACACATTCTTAAATACCAAACCCATGTAAGATGAGCGAAAAGGTTCCACTTTTACAAGGTAAAGAGATTTCTCGCATAAGGTACGGTAGCCAAAATGACGAGAGGCAGTTCATTTCTCTGCCCCATACACTACCATTAATCCTTTGCTTGACCATTTGAGCCCATACACTTGGAGGTTCTTTTTAAATCACCCCTGTCAAGAACCACCCCACATTGGGGCAGCTTGAGGTAAACCAACATCACAGGGAGAATTCAAATTCAGAGGGAGCAAGAAGAGCGTCCCTCCCTTTCGATCACCGCCCCTGTGACTTCGGCCTCGTTGTTTTCACGGATCCGGTGGTTCTCGAAAGAGTCTTCCAAGACAAGCACACCATCGACGGCCGGACAGTCGAGGCTAAGAGGGCTTTGTCAAGAGAGGAGCAGCAAACTAAAGCCTGTCCAAAATGCCAATATCTTATTGATAACAGTGATGTTGTCACTGAGCAAGACAGGAAAGGATGAGGAGTTTGTAATATCTAAAATTTTCTATGATCATCAGCTGCAACAGCTCTCACAAGGTGACAAAGATGAATAGGAATTTTCTTGCTCTCATTTGCATTAATCTTTGAGTGTTTTTATTGCAGATGAACTCTCACAATAATTTAAGTGCCCTAGGATGACGAAGAGCGGTTCTTCTTCTATCCCATACACTTATATCCCTTGCTAGCCCAATTGAGCCGGCGATTTCATTTCGTACCAACCCAGTTGGTGATCATCCCCTACACCGGGGCAAGGCAAAAGTCACCACAGCTTGAACATCAGGGTCCAAAATACCGAATCAAGATGAAGACTCCAAGAGCCTAATAACATTATTCTGCTCAAGCTTGTTTAGGCTAGTCCTGACAACACCAAAAGAGCAGCAATAAAATGCTGAAAACTAGGGGCATGAAAAAGCAGTGTGCCTGGTAAAAGCAAGGCCAATGCCCATGAATAAAAAACAAAGAAAAAGAAAAAGGAGAAGAAGAAAAACGATGAAAAGACGACCCCAAAGGGTTAAACTTGAGTTCTTCTTCGATACAAATTCCTACTTTAGGAACTCTGTCTTGACAAAGATCTGTCACATGATAGAATGGTATCCAGGAAAATGCTTGACGCATAAGCTCCTCAAGAAAATGTTGTCAAAGATGCTAAAACACGGGATTACCCAGGGAGTTGTCCAAGAGGATCCTGATGATGAAGAAAAAGACAGGTGACAATGCCAAGATGATCACCAACTCTCACCCTTACACACATTTTTGAGCCTAACGATCCTTTCGTTTCTCAACCTGTGAACCGAGCCCACGTTACGTCCCTCATGAAGTCTCTTCTGATTAGGGCATTTGATTTAACGTGGAATTTCAAATGTTTATAAACAACGCTCGAGGAAGTGCGAGCAAGACTATTTCTATCTCGTTTTGCAGGTTCTTGACTTGTAAACCCGGAAATGATTGCAGAATATTTTCTTTCATGGCCTTGACTCGGACAGTCTCCTTCGTTAAGCCATTGACCAAGCCTACATTACGACCCTGAAGAAGACCTCTCAGATTGGCAGCGTCGTACCGCTTGCGAGAAAACTCAGACCCTTACGGATGTGATAGTGGTCAGATTGAGTGTTTTCGATGTTCCCGCATTAATGGACGGGACAAATAGCCCTTTTCAATGAGAGCGAGTGGAAAGTCCTTTCTGACTGAGAATCCCTCGTTCAGCATCTCGAGAAGTCCACCTCCCAAGCGAAAATTGTCTTGATTTACCCTCGGTGGATGTTTGGTGATGAGCATGGCAAAATTATCATGCATGAACTTTCAAATGCGCATTCTGGAATAGCATAGCTTGTCTATCCTTGATGAATGCATGCATGTTTGCGCTAACTCTCTTTGATAGGTAAAATATCTTCAAAGACTCAAAGAACATATGACCTTTGGAGCGTCTCCAAAGATGTCACAAAAATTTTTTTCTGTTCCCCAAGTGGAATTGACACAGCATGCTTTTGCAGCTCAGAGTTCTAATCCCCAGTGATAGAACATGAAAATTCGGGCACTGAAAAGCCCTCATTATCATCACAAAAGAGATGCCCTGAAAAAGGTCGGGTATTCAGCAGATGATACATCAAACCTCCGGGTAAGAAATCCCAGGTATTTCATCAGATTTCTTTTCAAACTACCCAGAAGGTAAATTGGGTGCTCCTTTGAAAAAGAAAAGCATCTTGACTAGCTGGTCAAGATATTTCATACGATATTCAAGAATAGCCTCAGTTGTCTATTTCTCCGATGAATACGTATGTCTTTGCACAAAAAACTTGTCTGACAGGAGACACGCCCTTAAGAGGCAGGAACGTGCCCAGGTAAGTATATTCTACCCATGCCCGATTCCAAAAATCTATGTACCTACGATTGTTACGGTACCCTCTGAACATCGGATTGACCCCGTTGTTCACCCTCTGAACATCGGAGTGACCCCGTTGTTCACCAACTGAACATCGGATTGACCCCGTTGTTCACCCTCTGAACATCGGAGTGACCCCGTTGTTCACCCTCTGAACTTCGGATTGACCCCGTTGTTCACCCTCTGAACATCGGATTGACCCCGTTGTTCACCCTCTGAACATCGGATTGACCCCGTTGTTCACCCTCTGAACATCAGAGTGACCCCGTTGTTCACCAATTGAACATCGGATTGACCCCGTTGTTCACCCTATGAACATCGGAGTGACCCCGTTGTTCACCAATTGAACATCGGATTGACCCCGTTGTTCACCCTCTGAACATCGGATTGACCCCGTTGTTCACCCTCTGAGCATGGGACTGACCCCCATGTTCACAACAAATCCTCGGGCGAGAACCCCCAGGTGCTCATCGTTTGAGCTTTTTCAAGACCTGCTGGCGAGGACCCACCAGGCAAACAATCAAATCCTCGGGCGAGGACCCCCAGGTGCTCATCGTTTGAGCCTTTTCAAGACCTGCTGGCGAGGACCCACCAGGCAAACCAACAAATCCTCGGGCGAGGACCCCCAGGTGCTCATCGTTTGAGCCTTTTCAAGACCTGCTGGCGAGGACCCACCAGGCAAACCGTCAAACCCTCGAGCGACGACCCCCAGGTACTTTGACAAACAAAATCCAGTCAGTCAAGGCGACCGAAGAAAGGTCCGGGTCCTAGACAGACGATTTCCCCAGTCAAGGCGACCGAAGAAAGGTTCGGGTCCTAGACAAAAACAATCCCCGTCAAGGCGACCGAAGAAAGGTTCGGGTCCTAGACAAACCATTTTTTCGTCAAGGCGACCGAAGACAGGTTCGGGTCCTCGACACACAATATCAACCATCTGGAATTACTCTACCCTTCGGCAAGGTAAGTAGCCCCAGGTATGTTTTTATTTGCTTTAGCATGCATCATCTTATATCGCATCATAAAAATGGGACTCCGGTCTCGCAAAAAATAACATTCATTGAGCATGCATGGGCCAAATTTAGGTGCCATTTTATCTTTGAACGTAACCTCTGCGAGCTCAATCTCTGCGAGCTCACCTTCAAAGAGGGGCAGCTGTTGACACCTATTTTTAATTTGCCCAAAATTAATTGCAAAATTTAGGAGTTAATTTCTTTAATTCCTAAAACAAAAAAAATATTTCTATTTAAATGCATTGCATATAGACATTAGGCATATGTGCATTAATAAGGCCTATTAGAGCATATTTTCTTAAAAATTTAAAAAAAAAAAAAAAAATCGAAATCGATTCGGGCCGGGTCGGGGCTGGGCCGACCCGGCCCTTTTCTTCTTTTTTCCTCCGCGCGGACTGGGCCTGGCCCGGCCCAGCTGCCCTCTTCCTTCTCCCCCGTCGCTCTCGCTGCCCTGTTCGTCTCTGCTCACCGACGGCAGCGTGACGCACGGCGGCGCCGCTTCTCACCGTCGCTGTCTGGCCAGCGCAGGGCCGAACGAGCACGCCGACGGGACTGGCATTAATTGCCAGTCCCGTCCTCCCTTGAAACCCGGCCGTCTCTCCCCGTTTTTCCGCTCCTCCTCCTCCCTCTCGAGACCCACAGATTCGGCCCCCCCTGCTCTGCACCGGCCTAAGTGGCCGCGAAAGTCGCGGGGCAGCGCAGGCCGGTGCAGGCGGTCGTCAGCAGACGCAACGGAGCAGAGAGCGAGCGTCGTCGTCGGCTATACAGGCCAAAGAGAGGAGAGAGAGAGAGGGGGGGTTTTTCTCGGTCGATTTGAGCGGAGAGAGTCCCCGGCGGCCATTTTAGAGGAAAACACAGAGAGAGCGTGAGAGTGTGAGCTGAGAGAGAAAGAGGGCTTCCGGCGGCCACCGCGCCTCAGCTTCAGCCATCCATCCCCGCCGCCGAGCCGACGGCGGCGACACAGAGAGCCAAAGCCGCCCCGGTCGGCCACTTTCCAGAAAAAACAGAGACGGAGAGACTGAGCAAGACAGAGAGACCGAGAGCTGTTCCGGCGACCGCCGTGCTCGCACCGCGCCTCAGTCATCCATCCCCGCCGCCGAGCCGACGGCAGTGACACAGTGAGAGAGAGAGAGAGCCCCCGGTCGGCGAAACACAGAGAGAGACCGAGAGAGAGAACACAGAGAGAATAGAGAGAGAGAGGAAACCGAGGCCACGGAGCTAAAGAAGAACCCGGCGGCGGTCGTCGACGCCGCCGGACTGCCGGAGGCCATCCAGAGCAGCGCCGTCGGCCAGGTGAGCCCCTCGGCCGAGAAGCTCCCTGTTTTCCCTCGTTTTTTGCCTCGGTTTGGCGGGACTCGCGCCGGCCGTTTTGCTCGAATCCCGGCCCATACCGACGTCGGTCCCGGTCCCTGCTCACCGTCTGAAGCGAACCCAAGCCGCTGGAGCCGACCGGATCGCCGGAGGAGGTCGGAATCCCCCGTTTTTCCACGCGCCCGCCAAGCGTTCGACGAAATGCCTCAACCACGCCGGTTTTTGTTCCATCGCCGGCCGGCGAACGGTGGTCCGACGGCGGTTCAGGTGAGTGGCACGGCCAGAGGCGGTCCTGGTCGGGCGACTAGGGGGCGGCACTGGCCTGGGTCGGCCGGCGGACGGCCAATTTTGGCCTCGCCGGCGCCCCCCTCCCCGCGGATCTGTTTGTTCGGGTCGGATTCGACCCGAATCAACAGATCCGACCCGGGTCAACGCCCGGGTCGGATCCGTTGACTCGGGTCGGTTCCGACCGACCCGGATTAACAGTTCCGACCCGGGTCAACGCCCGGGTCGGATCCGTTGACCCGGGTCGGTTCCGACCCGGATCCGCCCGACCCGGTTAATATTATATTATTATTTTATTTTATTTTTAAAAAAAAAAATTTTAAAAAAAAAAATTTAAAAACTTTTTAAAAAAAATTTTAAAAAAAAAATTATTATTTTTTTTTCTTTTTCTTTTCTTTTGTATTATTATTATTATTAAATTTTTTTTATTTTTTTATTTTTTCGAAAAAAAAAAAAATTTTAAAAAAAAAATTTTTAAAAAATTTGATTGATATATTCTAAATGTTTAATCTAATGTGATATTATTATGCATATTTTTGTCTTGTTTAAATTAGACAAACTTGAGATTGCGCGGTAATATTTTGCATGTTATGTTTATTATCGCTGTATTGTTATGCATGTTTTTAATACAATTGCATGAGCGTTGTGTTTTTGAATGTCATCTGACTTAGTTAAGGTTAGAACCTTAGGCTGCATGAATTGTTGTGTTCCTGACTGCTGATCGTTCCTGATTATGCACTCGCTTGATCACCTCACATGTTAGGAGAAAGGTCCTAAAATCAATCCAAATTGCCTGACAAATGTTTTCAGAAATGAATAGGGTAAAATGGTACCGAAAGGGCATTAGTTATCCAACTAGTGTAACCAAGTCCCCGAACTCATTTAATCTCTGGTTCGTAGGAATAGGGTGATTCTCCCATCACCCTATTTGGGTTTCTAATCGACCCACCCCAAATCGATTAGTGGCGACTCCTTGATATAAACCACTTGCATGTTAAACACTTAAACCCTAAGTCGCGATATGGTATGGGCTTGGGAGAGCCCGAGTTAAGTCCCGAACCTAGACTTAGCACGTACCAGGCGAGCCCCCCTTTTTTGCATGTCGTTTTAAAAAGGGCTCGGGAGTTCGGTCGCGACATAGTGCAACGCAACGGACTCCAAAACAGGACTTCCCCTGACAATTCCCTCCAGGATATCATCTCTCAACTGCGCACATCCTAACAACAAGACAAGGCCACCTAATAGCAGTACCCAACGAAAAACAGCAGCTATAGACTTCCAGGCGCACCAACCGACTCAAGCAATACAAGAACCGTGGCAGTATATAATGAACCCGCAGCTGAAGAAGACATAGGCGAAGATCCTCCACACGGCGGTCCTCTGCAAAGCGGAGACAGAGGTCGAGCTTGGGGCGGTAGGCCGCGTTGCACTTGAAGATGGTGATGTGGAACCTCTTCACCGTGGGCGAGGTGCACCGGATCAGGACGCTGTCGACAAGGGACGGGAAGTCCGAGGAGTAGGTGTCGTGGAAGACGAGGTGGGCGGTGGTGGTCCAAGCGGACTGCCAGCGCTTGGAGAGGACGCTGGTCTTGACGACGTCTTTCAGGGGCAGAAAGGAGAAGATGTGGTGGATCACGGCGTCTGGCAGGTCACTGATGAGATCCCTAGGGCTCAAAAGAGGAGGATGGGTTCGGTTTCGTTTGGCGCTATTCGGCCGGTCGCCGGAGGAGTCGCGGCGGATGGCGCCGTGGACGGTGGTCTCCGCCATGGACTCGAAATCCTGGGGTTTTCCGGGGATGTTCAAGGATTTTACTTTTTCTATTTCTTCTTCTTTTTCTATTTCACTCTTAAATCCTATTTCTTCAAAACTCAAAAAAAAATTATACTTTCCATTTTTGTGGCTTGAAATTTCTTTCTTAATTTTTCTCATTCGAATTCTTTCAATTGATAGGACAATCTAAGAATAACATCCAAGAGCTTGAAACTCTTTTTAATCAGTTTTAATTATATGATGATTAAATCCTAATATCATAATATTGTTGCTTCGAATTATAAATTTGATACGTAACTTACAATTTACTCGCATCTAATCATAATCGTAAACAGTAATTATTAGAACTATATTATAATTTCTGGTTATTCTAAGTTAGTCGAGAATTATTACGACCTTTTATTAAAAATCTATCAAATTTTTTTTGATGAGTGCAATCATACAAATTATGGACTACTAACAGTTTTTGCAATAAATTATTATTAATAAAGTATAATAAAAATAACATTAATTAATTATGATAATTAACATCTTGATTATTTGAGTTTAATGACTGAGTTATATTATTATGTATAAATTTCATTTAACTGAGCATGCCTTCATTAAATTATGGTAAAACTAATCATAATATTGAAATAAAACTAAGGGTTACCCTATAATTAGGTTCTTATCTTCGAATCTACTCATTCAAACTTTTCTGCACTCACTACCCTGGTAAAAAAATATGCACTATTCACCTGTGTGTCAATTTTCTCTGGCACTTCAACCTTTTGTTCCACTTTTTCTCGCATGAAGTGATATTGTATGCTGATGTGCTTTGTTCTTGCATGAAATCCAGGATTCTTAGCGAAAAATATAGCACTCTGGTTATCACAACCAATATTCACTCTTCCTTGTGTAAAACTAAGTTCTTTACATAATTTGCGCATCCAGATTACTTCTTTAGCAGCATGAATAAGGGCCATGTACTCTGCCTCAATAGTAGATAAAGCAACTGTGCTTTGCCTCTTGCTCATCCAACTCACAGCTCCACCGAATAGAGAAATAACACATCCGCTAGTTGGCCTTCTGCTATCAATGTCACCTCCCCAATCAGCATCCCCGAAAGACTTCAGTTCTAACGCTTGTTGTCCCTTTGAGCTTTTCATGCCTTCATAACATAGCTCAAGGTCAAATGTACCACAAAGATAACGAAGCACCCGCTTTACTGCCATCCAATGCTTTTTCTCCGGATTGGACATATATCTGCTCAATACTCCCACTGCTTGAGCAATATCTGGATAAGTACATACCATGACATACATCAAGCTCCCAACTGTACTTGTATATGAGACTGTTGCCATATCTACAGCTTCCTCTTCAATCTGAGGACATTGGAGTGCTTATAACTTGGAACTTGTGGACAAGGGTCTTCACGGGTTTACAGTCAGCCATGTTGAATTTTTTTCAACACACTCTCAACATATTTGCATGCCCAAGGAAGTTTGCCGGGCCTAGATCTTTCATCTCAAATTGTTTTGCCAACAGTCCTTTCATGGTGCTAATCATTTTAAAACTATTTCTAACTAGTAGCATATCATCAACATATAAGGTTAAGATAATAAAGTCATCATCCAACCTTTTCACATAGACGCAATGATCAGCATCACAGCAAACAAAGCCAAGCTTCAAGACATAGGAGTCGAACTTCTGGTACCACATCCTTAGAGATTGCTTTAGGCCATACAAAGACTTGTTCAGTTTGGAAACAAGATCTTCTTTTCCTTTGACCGCAAACCCTTCTAGTTTCTTCATGTAAAGATCTTCCTCCAAGTCACCATGGAGGAATGATGTCTTTACATCAAGCTACTCTACCTCCAGATTGTCTGCAGCTGCTACAGATAAGACAAGTCTTATGGAATTTAATTTATCAATAGGAGAAAAAATATCACCATAATCGACTCCCTCTATCTGCGAGTATCCCTTCGCAACTAAACGAGCTTTACATCGTTCTATCTCTCCATCTGTAAATATTTTTTAACACCCACTTGCAACCAATTGCCTTTCAATCAGCGGGTAGTTTTACCAGACTCCACGTTCCGTTTTTATCTAGTGAGGCCATCTCATCTTTCATGGCTTTCTCCTACTGTTTGGCATCCTCTGCGCTTCTTGCTTCTTCGACATTACTTGGATCATCATCTGTAATAGTTAGAGCACAAATTCTCATTGCTGGCAAATAGGGCATACCTCTTAGATGTTTTCTCAGCTGTGTGGACCTTTTTAACACCGGTTCAGGTGGTGATTCAACGTCAAACTCAATTTCAGAATCTACTACATCATCCGCCTCCTCAAGCTCATCAGCTTCAGAATCTGAATTTTCTACTCCAGCTAGTGTATTCCTTTAAACCAACATCTAACTCAACCGTCTGTGGTTTTTCAGGAGCTTGGTGAACAATCTAATTTGTCATAGATTCTTTGAACACCACATCCTTGTTGTAGATGATACATTTAGTATCAAGATTCCACAGCTTATACCCTTTGACACCAGCCTTGTACCCAATGAAGATGCACTTCTCTGACTTATTTATCAAGCTTGTTCCTCTTTTCCTTTGGTACATGTACATATGCTTCACAACCAAACGCTCTAACATGGGATATATTTGGCTTCTTTTCAAACAGTGCCTCAAAACGGTGTCTGATGCTTCAAAACTGATGTGGGAGACCTATTTTTCAGATAACACCCGGTAGCTACTGCTTCTGCCCAAAATTCAGCTGCTAAGCTTGCACCACTTTGCATACTCCTTGCCTTTTCCATGAGAGACCGATTAAGTCTCTTTGCCACCCCATTCTGCTAAGGTGTATAAGGCGTTGTCTTCTGCCTAGCAATGCCACTAATCGCACAAAATTGATCAAATTTCGCTGAACAAAATTCTCCTTCGTTATCAGTCCGCTAAACTTTGATTTTCTATCAAACTGATTTTTCACCAAAGCTTTGAACTCGCAAAACTTTTCAAACACATCATCTTTCCTTTGGAGAAAATATATCCACACATATCTGGAAAACTCATCAGTAAAAGAAACATAATACCTTCATTTTCCAAACGATGCTACAAGTGTAGGACTGAAGACGTCATTATCGATAAAATTCAGAATCCCTTTCAGTCTTCCTCCTATGGATTCAAAAGATATCCAATTTTGTTTTCCATGTAAACAATATTCACAAAATTTGAAACCCATAGAACAGCTGGGAATTCCATCCATCATCTTCTTTGAGGTAAGGGTCATTAGCCATTTCTCACCCGTATGATCTAATCTCCGATGCCATAGCATCGAAAGATTTTCTTCCACTTGCTTTGAGATATAACTCTCACCGTTGATGATTGTGCTTCCCAATGACTTCTATAGTTTTCCATACTGTTCACCTCTGACGATCACCATAGATCCACGGGTTAGCTTGCATGAATATTTGTCACTGGTGAAAGTAATGCCAGCATCTGCCATAGTTCCCATAGAAATAAGATTTCTCATAAGATCAGGAATATGCATCACATCCGAAAAATTCTTGATTGTCCCATCTTTCATCTTCATCTTCACCTTCCCGCGACCAACAATGTCAAATACCGTGTCATCCCCCATTCGCACTGTACCTCCCTGATATGGCTTGTAATAGCAGAACCAATCTCTATGAGGCACCACGTGCAAAGATGCTCCAGTATCAATTGTCCATGCATTGCAGTCACCCTGTGATGTATTGCAGACGAGATACATGTCTCCCGTGCCGCCGTCATCAACCTTCTTTGTACTAGAGGATGATACCTCATCTCGCCTCTCTGTACCTATACTTTTGCTTCTGCAATCTTTCTTCAAGTGTCCAGGCTTTTTGCACTTCCAACGCATTATTTTCAAGCTTCGTCCAGAAATCCTTCGCTGTTTTCTCAGAGGTCATGTTCACCAGAACACTATCCACAAAGCATAACCAAATTAGGCTTTGCGCCCTCCGATCGCTGCTATCCCACGCCTTCAATTCATCAGATGTGGACTCGGCCTCCTTTGCCTTCTCCGTGGATTTTTCCTTGGGTTATCTTCTTCGATCACGTGCTATAGATCCCTGTCCATGGGCAAAGCCTCCATCTTCAATTTCCATAACTCAAAACCTTTTTCTCCGAACTTCTCTACTTCAATCCGTGATTGATGAGCCGACGATATCTTCCCAAGATTCGATATTTCCGATCTCTCTTCACCAAGAAACCCTAACCTAAAACCTTGCTTTGATACAAGATGTTGGGATTCGCCGCACAATCACAAAGAAAATAGAGAGTAAAAGCGAGAAAGAAAATCGAGACACAAGGTTTTATCCCAGTTCACCCTTAAACTAGGGCTATGTCCAGTAGAGGATTCCACTATAATTAGCACCTGCACCTTTCTGTTACATTTCTCAATTATAAGAGAAAGATACTATATATAGGCAATAGTTTGATTCAAAATAGGAAACCTCTTTCTTGGAAACCTACTATAATTAGGAAATCAATTAGGAAACCTATTCAAAGTAGGAAACCTCTTTCTAGAAAACCTATTCAAAATAGGAAACCTAACTGAATTAGAAAACTTTCATTTTTCAGGCTCAAACAATAAAAGCCCTCTAGCAGCTCGGGATCGCTCCTCCCGCGACCCTCGTCCGCTCACTGGGGAGTGGAATCCCTGTGCCTTCTTGTCGATGGGGAATATGAACCACACCCTAACAATAATTGGAGTTCATCCTCTTTTGGGCAGCAAAGAAGCACTTCAAGTTTTGTCATTGAAATCAAAAGCAACCGAAGGAGTTAGTCGCTTATTCATAAATTTGCATACAGTGCAAGGAGTTGCTTCACTTGAAAACAAAAGGTTGTGCTAAAACTAATATCAAATTGTAATGATGTCTATGCAGTTACGCACAAATTATGTGAAGATTTCCAACATATTGATAGTCCACATTTGTAACAGTCTGAATTTTCGATCCTTTTTCCCGGGATTTAGGAAATGAATTTGACCAATGCGCTATAGTGAGATCTCACC